CACATCTCCTTAGAACTCTATCACAAGAACAGTATTAGGGGGATAGTGCTAAGCTACTCATGAGAAACCACACCCATGATCTAATCACCTTACATCCAGCCCCACCTCCAACATTAGAGATTACAGTTGAACATGATATTTGGGTGGGTATAGTGATCCAAACCATATCACCCTGTCTAAAAAAAAGAAAAAAAAAACGGATTAAAACTATACAGAGTATTGTTTTCTGATCAAAATGATGGAATGGAACTAGAGATTAAAGGCAGAAGGAAGACTTGAAAATCCACAAACACACGGAAGTTAAACAATATGTTTCTAAATCACCCATGGGGCAATGAAAAAAATCATAAGGGAAATTAGCAGAAATCTTGAGAGAAAGGCAAATAAAAGGACAACATATCAAAACTTAGGGAATGTATTGAAAGTAGTGCTAACAGGAAAATCTTTAGCCATAAACACTTACATTAGAAAGATCTCAATTCAACAGCCTATCTTTATACCTTAAAACTAGGAAAATGAGAATAAGTTTAAAGGTAGTAGAAAGAAGTGATAAATCCCTGATGACTCCCTCCCCTAATTGTGTTTCATATTGTCTGTTAGCATGTAGTGTTTTCAGCTACTTTCTACTGTTGTAAAATATTGTAGTACTAAATCTGTGAAAAAGAAGTAATAAAGATCAGAACATAGAAAAATAACAGAATAGAAAAACAAAAGAGAAGAATAACAAAAATCAAGAGTTGGTTCTTTGAAAAGATCAACAAAAACTGACAAACCTTTAGCTAGATTGATCAAGAAAAAAAGACTTAAGTAAAATGAGAAATGAAGAAGGGGACGTTAGTGCCAGTTTTACAGTTTTACATTTTTATTTTAATTCTTAAAAACAACTTTAAGAGAGTATGTGAACAATTGTACATGGATAGATTCCTTGAAGCAAAAATTACCTTCTCAATAAGATATATTAATAGAAAATCTGAACAGACCCAGACAAAAGCCTCCCAACAAAGAAAAGTCTAGGACTAACAACTTTGCTAGTAAATTCTATCAAACATTTTAAAGAAGAATTAATAGCAGTCCTTCCTCAAACTCTTCCAAAAAATTAAGAAGGTGTAAACACCTCCAGGTTCATTCTATGAGACCAACATTAACATGATGCCAAAGCCAAAGACATTACAAGAAAAGAAAACTATAGACAAATATCCCTTGTGAGCAGTGAGCAAAAAGCCTTAATCAACTACTAGCATACTGAATTCAGAACATTAAAAGAGTCATACATCATGACCAATTTGGATCTATTCCTGGAATGCAAGGATGGCTCAACATATGAAGATCAATCAGTATAATACACCACATTAACAGAAGGAAAGAAAAACACTACATAATTACATCAATGATGTAGAAAAAATGTATTTGACAAAATTTCACACTCTTTCTTAGTAATGGCACCCAACAAACTAGAAGTAAAAGAAAATCACCACAACATAATTCAGGCTATATATGTTAAAAAATTCACAGCTGACATCATACTCAGTGGTGAAAGATTGAAAGCTTTCCCTCTAGAACCAGGAACAAGATAAGGATGCCCACTTTTGCCTCTGCTATTCAACATAATAATGCAAGTCTTAGCCAGAGCAGTTAGGAAATAAAAAGAAATAAAGACATCCATCCAAATTGAGAGGGAAGAAAAATAATCTCTGTTCACAGAAGACATTATCTTATATAGAAAACTAAAGATTCCACTAAAAATATTACAAATAATAAAGAAATTGAGCAAAGTTGTAGGACACAAAATCAACACCCCAGAGTAATTTCTTTCTTTTTCTTTTTAATTTGGGACAGAAGCCAGGTGTGGTGGCTCACACATGTAATCCCAGCACTTTGGGAGGCCGAGGTGGGCAGATCACCTGAGGTCAGGAGTTTGAGACCGGCCTGACCAACATGGAGAAACCCCATCTCTACTAAACATACAAAATTAGCTGGGCGTGGTGGCACATGCCTGTAATCCCAGCTACTTGAGAGGCTGAGGTAGGAGAACGGCTTGAACCCAGGAGGTGGAGGTTGTGGTGAGCCGAGATCTCACCATTGCACTCCAGACTGCGCAACAAGAGCAAAACTCCATCTCAAAAAAAAAAAAAAAAAGACAGGGTCTCACTCTATCACTCAGCCTGAGGCACAGTGGCATTATCATTGGTCCCTGCAGCCTTGAACTCCTGGACTCAAGCAGTCCTCCCACTTCAGCCTCCTGAATAGTTGGGACTACAGGTTGTGCCACTGCACCTGGCAATTTTTTTAATTTTTATTTTTGTAGAGATAGGATCTCACTATGTTGCCCAAACTCGTCTCAAACTCTGGGCCTCAAGTGATCCTCCCATCTCAGCCTCCCAAAGTGTTACGTTAAAGGTGCAAGTCATCACATCAATCCCCAAATCATTTCTATATACTAACAATGTACCATCAGGAAAGGAAATTAAGAAAAACAATTCTGCTTGCCATAGCATCAAAAAGAATTAAATACTTATTTGAAATGAATTTAGGGAGGTGAAAGATTTATTCTCTGAAAAATACAAAACATTGCTGAAAGTAATTGAAGAAGACACAAATGGAAAGATATTCCCCATTCATGGATTGGAAGACATAGGATTGTTAACATGTCAATACTATCCAAAGAAGTCTAGACTCAATGTCATCCCTAGCAAAATTCCAATGATTTTTTAAATAAAAAAGAATTATTCATATGGAATGACAAAAAATTTTGAAAAAGAAGAGCAAAGTTGGAAGTCTCACATGTCTTGATTTGGAAAGCTACTACAAAGATACAGTAAGCAAAACAGTTTCATACTGGCATAAAGAATGACATAACTAATGGAATTGAATAGAGAGCCTAGAAATAAATCCTTGCATATATGATATGGTCAAATGACTTTTATCAAGGATGCCAAGACTACTCAGTTGGGGAAAAGACAATCTTTTAAACAAATGGTGCAGGGAAAACTGAATATTCACATAAAAAGAATGAAGTAGGACCATATACAAAAATTAACTCAAAATGAGTGGAAGACCTATACATGAGAGCTGAAACTATAAAGCATAGTGGGAAAGCTTCATGATATTAGATTTTGAAATGATTTCTTGAATATGACACTAAAATACAGGTGAAAAAATAAGTTGGACTACAAAAAAAATTATTTCATGTGCCTTGTGGAATTCCACTTAGTCGTAGAAATTTTACATTATAATTGTATTCTCAATATAAAATTGTGGTACAGATTGAACATCCCAAATTGGAAAATCCAAAATGTTCCAAAATCTAAAAATTTTTGAGCACTAACCTGATGCTCAATGGAAATGCTCATTGGAGCCTTTTGGATTTTTGATTTTCAGATTAGGGATGCCCAACCAGTAAGAATAATGCAAGCATTCCAAAACCTGGAAAAACATCTGAAACACCTCTGATCCCAAGCATAGGAATACTCAACCTGTATGTATTTAAGAGCACTAGACCGAATACTCATTTTTTTCTGTGGATTGCTTGTTTTTAACCAAAGTGAAATTGTAATTTTAAATGTAAATTTTAATTTGATTCCATTTTTTTTTTGTAGAGACAAAGTTTCATTTTGTCATCCCCAGCAGGAGTACAGTGGCATGATCATAGCTCACTGTAGCCTTAAACTCCTGGGCTCAAGCAATTCCCCTGCCTCAGTCTCCCAAGTAGCTAGGACTACAGGCATATGCCACCATGCCCTGCTAACTTTTTAATTTTTTGTAGAAATAGGGTCTCTCTGCATTGCTCAGGCTAGTCTCAAACACCTGGCCTCAAGCAAGTCTCCTGACTCATTAAATGTAAATTTTAAATGTAATTTGTTAAAATAAAATTTGTTCTCTGCTAGCCAATTAATAATAATCTTGCTACTTATTAAAAATGGACATGCACATAATTATGTTGCTTATATACTTTATCACTATTTTTTTCTTTGAATCAATTATATTACTACTTTTCTAAGTATGTTACTTTTATGTTTCCTCAGGCTAGGATGATATTTACATTGTTAAGGGGAAATACATTTTCTGTTTGATCATATTTTAAATTGAGTGACATTTTCATACATAGGAAAGACTAAATCAGTTTCTTGCCATTTCTTTCTCATAGATGACATTTGCAAAGGGAAGAAGAGAATCAGTTTCTCTTCATTTAACTGAGTATCTGATTACAATTTCTAATCAACCTATGGATGATTATTAAGAGTAGCATTTTCATATTAGCTATCTTCAGGGACTGAAGATTCTTTCAGCTTTGTAGAAACAGGATTAAAAATGATATGGAAGGGAAACAAGAATTTGTGACAGCAAAAGACTGATGATTTTGTTAGAAATGACTACATTTCCAAGATTTTATGAATGCACTTCCTTAGCAGTTTAGTTAGTATTAAGAGAGTAGGAAAAGAAACAAAATGTACATGGAAAAGTCAAATGCCGAAGTTTAATAGAAATGTTGACAACCATTGCATCAGTTAAAGTTCATGGTCCGTTTCTTACTCTTTTGTTAAAAACACATTCTATCTCCTTATAGAAATGTTGAGAATTATCACATGATAGTTTGGTATTGCAAGAGCAAAGTCAAGTGTTTTCTATTTTAACATTCTTCATTTCAAACTCTTGGTTTTAGACAAAAACCTGAGACATGACTTGTCACAGTTGTGCTAATGTAGTTTGAATTCAGTGAGTATATATTCAATAATGAAGTAATATTCTTGTTTTCGTAAGAAGAAATCCAGTTTACTATTAGTGTTTAAACTATTATTCTTTAAAACATCATCTGTAAAAAACAAACAAGAATCCATCAACTTAAATCTCAAAATAAACCAGAATGTAGGACAAATGACACTTTATTTTACATATCTTTTAAAATGAGCATGTATTGAGAAAAAATGGATAAGAAAGATTTCATTGTGGCTAAAACCCACTTGATAAGGAAAAATGTATTGTAAAAAATGTTTTTTGTGAAGCTTTGACAATTTTTACAGGACTTACTGCTGATGCTAGAGTAGTAATAAACAGAGCCCGTGTGGAGTGCCAGAGCCATAAGCTTACAGTTGAGGACCCAGTCACTGTGGAGTATATAACTCGCTTCATAGCAACTTTAAAGCAGGTAAGCTAATATTCTAACATACTTTGTCAAGCTTTCTCCTTTTTCATAGAAGTACTACAGTTAACTCCAACCAGTCTCTTAAATCTATTAAATTTCTTATTTCTCACACTTTATATCATATTTTTATTCCAGTAAAATGGATTGATTTAATCACAGAAATCTTGATTGGTATTAATTCTGGGAATTATATTCAAGTTGAAAAAACAGTAAGTCTGATCTTTTAAAGAGATTTCTATACTTCTGGAGATTGAATTGCCCAGGCTGGTCATGAACTCCCGGGCTCAAGAGATCTGCCTGCCTCAGCCTCCCAAAGTGCTGGGATTACAGGCATGAGCCACAGCATCCAACCTAAAAATAAATATATATATATTTTTAAATACATATAATAAAATTGGAAAATAAGAAAATAGATATGCTACATAGGCAAGACCAGGAAGAAAGCTGACATAAAGCTGTTTCAAGCCACAGAGTTACATACAGTTATATACAGCCACAGAATTATTTATAGTTATCTAAAGTTGCCTAAAAATTTAGTCCTTAGGCTGGTGTGGTAGCTCACGCCTGTAATCCCAGCACTTTGGGAGGCCAGGGAGGGCGGATCCCCTGAGGTCAGGAGTTTGAGACCAGCCTGGCCAACATGATGAAACCCCATCTCTTAAAAAAAAAAAAAAAAATTAGTCCTTAGCTTTCTGTCAGGAATGCTTCTTTGCATGACTTTTGGGGCACCAGTCTCAGTGTGAATTCTGCTCCTTAGAGCACAAATTCCAGGAAGTTTCCTGACACTAAAGCAAAAAGACATACAATTGGTTTCCAGAGACCCATGATCTGTGAGGAAAAAGCGTGCTCTTCTTCAGGATAAACAAAGGCTTTCTTGTCTTGGGACTGAAAGAAATGTCTTATTTGGGTTTTTAAGAAGAGATAACCTAGTATATAGTGAACAGAATGTCCTTGATAATAATACTGTCAAGTAAGAATACTTGATAATAATAGTAACATTTATAGCATCCCTCAAGGTAAGCTGAGGACATGTTTCTAAAGCACAACTTACTGAAATCAGCATTAATGAGAACCAAAATGTATGGCATAGTTCTCTGCTGTATTAGAGATTATATTCTAGTTATGTTACCAAATGTATACAAAGTAACAAGAAAATGATTTTAAGACTATATGTAAACAAACTTATGATTTTATTGTATAGCATAATTTTCTTTTTTTTTTTGAGACAGAGTTTCACTCTTGTTACCCAGGTTGGAATGCAATGGCGCGATCTCGGCTCACCGCAACCTTCTCCTCACCGCAACCTCCTCCTCCTGGGTTCCGGCAATTCTGCCTCAGCCTCCCGAGTAGCTGGGATTACAGGCACACGCCACCATGCCCAGCTAATTCTTTGTATTTTTAGTAGAGACGGGGTTTCACCATGTTGACCAGGATGGTCTCAATCTCTTGACCTCGTGATCCACCTGCCTCGGCCTCCCAAAGTGCTGGGATTACAGGCGTGAGCCACCGCGCCCGGCTGTATAGCATAATTTTTTAAAATTTCATCATGAATTGAGGTTGCTCCAGGAAGGGTCAGGAAAAAGATCACTAATATATGTAGAATTTAGGGAAGTGGATGATTTGGACAGCAATGCTTTATTATTAGAATTTTTTATTTTGTAAGTAATAGTTTTATTCTAAAAATATGCTTTATTTTTCAGAAATATACCCAAAGCAATGGAAGAAGACCTTTTGGTATTTCTGCCTTAATTGTAGGTTTTGATGATGATGGTATCCCAAGATTATATCAGACAGATCCTTCTGGTACTTATCATGCTTGGAAGGTGAGTCATGAATTTATTAATATATTTTTTAGAAGTTTAGTAAATATTCTGCCTATAGGACTCTTAAAATAAAAAGCTTAGTAAATATTCAATGTAAATGCTGTATTGCTTTGAGAGACATGACAAAATTATGTTGCATTAAAATATTGATGTTGGTACAAATTTTATAAATGTAACTATTCAGCTAGTCAGAAACTACAGTGATTTTTGTTAGATAAAGAAACACATTCGTTTTTTGAGCACAAGGTCTTTTGAAAAGATGTGACCAAAGTAACTGTTTATAAATGGTCAAGTAAGAGAAATATACAGTTCCTATTTATTGTTTATTATTCCAAATGAATATTGTACCATATAGATGCTTGCTTCACATAGAAATAATCTTTCTGCTTTTAACAAAGAATTAGATGGACATTTAAATTCCTACTGAAATATATAATGCATCTTCTCCATTCTAGGAGAGTCAGAGCACCCTAAACTATGAATCTATACTCATGTGTTAATATGTAGCAATGATCTCTACATAATTTCTAGCATGTAGTTTGTTTTCTGGATAAGTTGTTATTCTTGTTTTGACACCCAGCTACAGTAATGAGTTTGTTTAATGGTACACTCAAATCCAATGCAAAAATATAGGGCTTAGCCAGGCATGGTAATACACACCCATGGTTCCAGATACTTGGGAGGCTGAGACAAGGGAATGGCTTGAGTACTTTTCAGGTTACAGCGAGCTGTAATTGTGTCTGTGCACTCTAGCCTGGGCGACAGAGAAAGACCCTGTCTGAAAAACACCAACCAAACAAAACTCTCCCCAGAAAACACTGCTAGAGCCCAGAGAAACCTAGTTTCTAGGAGTGAATTTTTGTATATTCCTGTATATATAAGAATAAGACTATACTATAGAATCCAATATAAGTGATTTTGACTTTTTTAAAAGTCAAATACCCAGACTTTAAATAGTTTTCTACAAAGTTGATTTTATTATTATTTAGAGCCAAATAAACTAATGGAGAAATAGTGTTATGGTCTTTATGCCTGTGTTAAATAAAAAATTTGATTTGCACTGACAATACTCATAAGATACTATTTTACAAAGCATTAACCAGGCAGTAAAGCAGTGGATTATATTCTTACAACAAATATCAGAATGTTTATGTCAGCTGCACATATCCTTTTAATCTGAATTATCTAATTAGTAATTAGAAGGTATAGATTTACATGCTGCAAATATCAGACTTTTTATCCTCTCAATTAGAGATCTCTTACTGTACTCGATTTCTTGTCTCCTAAATCTATGCCCTAAATAAACCAAGTTACCACACTCGATCTTTAAATATTTTGAAGCCTGCCATCTTCTGTTTGCATTTATCATTACATCATTATCCTTTATTTCTAAATCATAACACAACATTTTCCAGGTTTACATAATTTTTCTGTTTTAATTTGTTTGCTTTCTGAAGACATACAGAGTATTTTATTTTATCTCAGTCAGGAAAATTATGGAATTTTTTAATTGTTGAGAATCTTATTGATCATCTTGGTCTGAAACTCTGCTCTGGTGTCTTCAGTTCTCATGGTGGGACAGGAGGATATGAACATTGTGTACTTGTTTGCCTACACATGGATACCCCCGTCTACATTTTACTCATTTCATCTAGTGTACTTTCTTGTGGGATTTTGATTGAAGGAAATATTATTCAGCTTTTGAAAAATCACCTTTAACAAAAATCATTTGAAAACCTTTTTATTTTATGTATTTGGCAACTGAGATTTTTAGGGGTTAAGTGATTTTTGTTGCTCTTGTTAAGTTTACCTTCCTAGCCTGGTGTGGTAGTTCACTCCTGTAATCCCAGCACTTTGGGTGGCCAAGGCAAAAGGATCACTTGATTCCAGAAGTTTGAGACCACCCTGGGCAATGTAATAAGACCCCACTTCTACAAAAACAATTTTAAAAATTAGCCAGCTGTTGATGGTGCACACCTGTAATCCCAGCTACTTTGGAGGCTAACGTGGAAGGATCGCTTCAGGCCGGGAATTTGAAGCTACAATGAGCTAGGATCATACCACTGTACTCCAACCTGAGCAACAAAGTGAGACTCTGTCTCAAAACAAAAAAAGTTCACATTCCTAGTTAATAGCAATATTGCAATTAGAACTCAGAGTGTTTTATTTATTTTATTCTATATTTTTTGTACTATATCATGCTACTTCCTTTAGGCCAAATGATTTTCTATGCATGTTATGTAAATTCAAATATCTATTCTTGGAAGGTAGAATAAAATCTTCTGACTTGATTTCTACTTCTAGGGATTATTACACTTTAACTATGAGATCAAGTTTTTCTTTTTTTGTTTTGTTTTGTTTGTGTCTACGTCTTATTTTTATGTCTGTTTTTTACTCTGACGTACTATACCAAGCAACCTGATAAAATGTTGCAGTGGACTATTGAGAACACAGCTATGGTACCAACCATACTTTGCAGTGCTATTTTGTAAGCTTATGAAGTACAAGCAGAGGAAAAGGTAGACTTGGTAGGAGAAATAGGAAGTTAATAAATAGAAACTGTGGACACATGACCTGTTGCAGAAATGAAAACAGAAATAGCTAATACCAGCATTTTGTTTTTTTTAGGTTCTCTACCTGGCAGGTAACACAAATTTTATTTATGAAGACTGGGCCTTTAATGATCTTGTCCTAATGGGTAATAGTGTCTTCCATTAACTTTTTACACTTTACAGGGGAATGCTAAGAGAAGCCTCCAGAAAATCCTTTGAATTTTTGATACCTCTTCCCTTGTCCTATTGTGTAATGGTAACTTTATTTCCATTGATAATGAGAACAAATCATACTGTTGTTACAGTAACCCCTTATTTGTTTGTTGGTTCAATAACATGAGGAGTCTAAAATGGCCAAGTGGCAATCTCAGCTCATAGTTCAGTGAAATTATGTTCTCTGATAGAAATATACTCCCCACTTCTCTCCCCTTCTTTCCTTTGGGAACTAGAACCTTTAAACTAGCAGAACCAAGTGGGAACAAGCGACAAAGATTTTCAAGTGGACCATTAAAGGTATTCATGAGACACATCTATTCCTTCGTTCCTAGATTTGAGGTTTTGTGAAAAATGAATTACTAGTTATGGCTCAGGATACATACAGGATCTTATAGAACAGAACCCTAGCCCTATAAGATGTCACACAGCTGCTGCTGTAACTTGAGTCGTCATAGCCTATTCTAGAATTCTGTCAGGCTGGCTAATTCAAGGTGATAAGAGAATATAGTAAAACCAATGAATCTCATGAACATAAGCCAATTACCCTATTTCCTCACAATCAGTTCCTTGCTCAGAGGCTATATTTTCTAGGATACTACGATGGTGAAGAAAGCTATTCAGGTCCCCAAAGTGGTGCATGGCAGTAGTCCTAACTACTTGGGAAGCTGAGGCAGGAGAATAGCTTGAGCCCAGGAGTTCCAGGCTGTAGTGCACTATGATCATGCCTGCAAATAGCTACTACACTGCAGCCTGGACAACACAGACTGTTTCTAAGAAGATGAAAGAAAGTATTCCATTAAGTCCACAGGTAGGAGAGCTGACAGAAGCATTTGGCACAAGTAAGGGAAACTTACATCCCAAGTAAGTTTTTCTTTCATGGAGGGCAAGCTGCTGCTCTTTCCAAGGCAGAAAAGTCCAACAAACTCAGTCAGCCATGTTGGCAAGTTGCTATGAAGCTCTGCCAGTATCCAGATTAAAAAAAAAACAGGGATACAGTAAGGAAACACCTATTTTTAGATTTCTTTTTTCCTTATACATTTTTGTACTGAGAAAGATGTTTTAAAGTTTTTTGACAGATGAAAAAATTGTATGTATTTATGATTGTAAATGTGATGCTTTGTATGTGTATATACTGTGGAATGATTTAAATCAAGCTAATTAATATACCCATCATCTCACATACTTATTTTTGTGATGAGAACATTTAAAATCTATTCTTTTTAAGCAATTTTTAAGTATACAGTACATTATTACTAACTTTAATTACTATGCTGTACAGTAGATCTCCAGAATTTATTTCTCCTAACTGAAACTTTGTAACTTTGAACTATCAACTTCCCATTCTCTTTCCCTCCTCAGCCCTCCCCTGTTAACCACCATTCTGTTCTCTGTTTCTATGAGTTCAGTTTTTTTAGGTTCCACATATAAGTGAGATCATAACATACTTGTCTTTCTGTACTTGGCTTAAAAGAAAATGTTTTTTTAGGAACAAGTTCTGGCGCTTGGCAAATTATATTAAATTAAAAATTATCCTGCTGTAAACATCTGCAGTACTATTATGATTGTTAACATTTTTTAATGCATAGCTAAACACAAAAATAAAGTCCTAAAGGTCCAGAAATAAGGAATTGAATAACACAGTAATAAGCATGTGAGTTGATAACTCTGTATTTAGGGATATTATAGTGCAGGATTCCCAAAGATTGTTCACCATCAAAAGTATAAAATATATAAACAGCCCATCATTTAACAAATATTCTGTCTATAAATACTGAATTTTTATTACATATTGAATACTGTTCTAGGTTCTGGGAATATAGAGGTGAACTCAACAGATAAAAATTCCTGCCCCTATGAAAGCCTAAGAGAGGAGGACAGACTACATATATATATTACTGTGAATAAAATGAGAGAACAAGGTTAGGAGTATAGACAGTGACTGGTATATACAAGGTGGTCAGGGAAGATCCCTTTGAAAAGGAGACATTTGGACCGGGCACAGTGGCTCCCACCTGTAATCCCAATACTTTGGGAGGCTGAGGCAGGTAGATCACGAGGTCAGGAGTCCAAGACCAGCCTGACCAATATGATAAAACCTTGTCTCTACTAAAAATACAAAAATTAACTGGGCATGATGGTGCATGCCTGTAGTCCCAGCTATAGGCAGGAGAATCACTTGAACCCAAGAGGCAGCTGTTGCAGTGAGCCAAGATTAGCCACTGCACTCCAGCC